AGTGAATAGTTCACTCCCCAGTAATTCCCCCTCAGGGTGGGATCAAGTCTTCGGAGATGAAATGTGGGAATATCTCAGAGCCACCTTCTGGCCTCATGAGCTGTTTCTCTTGTCCACAGACCTCTGGACTTCGTGGGCACTTTTAGTAACCGATGGTCCTATGGAATCGCCTTTGGGGCCACAGCCAATAAGATCATGTTCTTGTTCTCGGAAGGCTACCAGCCCCTGCAGATCCCGCAGTGGGCCCAAGGTACCAGGGCTGCTTCATACCTGCTGGGAATTTTGCCATGGAAATTCTTGCTCTCAGAGACAGCATGGCAGGGGTTCTCTGGGATCAGGGGACTAAGCTTTATGAACTGTCACCATTCTTCCCAGCTTGTTACTTGCCCAACGTCAGTGCCTAGCCCAGAAAGTCTCAAAGCTTGTTTGTGGGGACTTTCTTCCAGTTAGATTCAGCGATCCTTTAGACATAGTAGAACAAAGCTTCAGAAAGTAGGCTCACCACCACCCACCCTAAAAATCTCTCTTGAGTCAGAGCCATGGCTACCTTCTTGATATCAGTAGACCCTCAATAGGGTACTTCCTCTAAGAGCAGGTCTTATTTCTTTGGCCATTGGTGTGGGGCATCTCAGTTCTCCATGCCTCATGCTCTCCCTGAAACAGCAACTCTACTCTACAGGTTCAGCCATCCCTAATACGGCAGCTTCCAAAGCTCTCTGTCCAGCCAGTTTTCTCTCATGGGCTCCAAGCCTATAGGAGCCGGTGCCTATTAATATCTAATTAGTTTTTAGGGAAATGCAAATTCAAACCAAAATGATATATCACCCATACCTCTTGGAAGTATACAATTTAAGTTTTGACAAATTTTTATATCTATGAAGTCATCACCACAATCAAAATAACGAACCACAGAAATTAACTTGTTCCTCTTTGCAATCTTTCCTTTCCACCCCATCCTGTCACTGTCCCCATCCCCAGGCAATTATATAAATGGAATCATAAATACATACATATGGAATCATTTCATATGTATGTATGGAATCATACATACAAACATACTTACAAAATGTACTTGTTTTTTGTCTTTTGTTTGGGAGGGTCTAGTTTCTTTCACACAGCATAGTTATTTTGAGGTTCATACATGTTTAGCATGTATCAAAAATAAATTCCTTTTTAATTACTGAACAGTAGTCTACTACATGGAGATATCACAGTTTGTTTATCCCTTCACCTGTTGATAAACATTTTATTTATTTCCAGTTTTTGACTATTACAAATAAAACTTTTATGAACATTACATGTCTTTGTATGTAACTAGGTTTCCATTTTTCTTGGGTAAATATTTAAGAGTGGAATGGCTAGATTATATAAATCGTATAGTAAATCATACTTCTTAAGAAACTGTCCAACTCTTTTCCAGAGTGATTGCTCCATGTTAGATTACCACAATCAGTGTATGAGAGTTCCAGTTTCTCTGTATCCTTGACAACGAATGGTCAGTCTTTTTCATTTTAGCCATTCTAAGAGGCATGTAGTGGTATCTTATGGTTTTAATTTTGTTTTCATAATGACTAATGATGTTGAACACATTTTCATGTGCTTCTTTGGTGAAGTGTCTGTTCAAATAATTTACCTATATTTAAAAAATTGGGTTTTTTTATTGAGTTTTGAGAGTTTTTTATATAATCTGTATATAAATCCTTTATCAGATGCATGAATTGCAAATATTTTCTCCTTGTCTGTGGCTTATATTTTCATTCTAATAACAGTTTCTTTTGCAGAACTGATATTTAAAATTTTGATGAAATCCAATTTATTCAATTCTTCTTTTGTGAGTCATGAAAGTAAGATTCATAAGAAATCATGATTATAAGAAATCATGCTTATAAGAAAGCGTATAAGAAGTGTCATATAAGAAATCTTTGCTTAAACTAAGGTCACAGCTTTTCTCCTATGTTTTTTTAGAAGTTTTATAGCCTTAGGATGTTTTGCATTTAGGTCTGTGATACATTTTGAGTTAATTCTTTTTTGCATGTAGTATGAGATATGGATTGAAGTTCCTTTTTTTGCCTGTGGCTATCCATTTGTGCCAGCACTAGTTGTTACAAAAACCTGTTCTTTACCCACAAAATTGCCTTTGTACCTTTGTGAAAAATCAATTGGCCACATGTGTATGGTTCTATGTCTGGACTCTATTCTGTTCCATTGATCTGCAATGTGCAAAGGTTCCAGTTTCTCCACGTCCTAGCCAACACTTGTTACTTTCTTTTTTTTAAGTTATATCCATCATAGTCGGTGTGAAGTAGTATCTGACTGTTGTCTTGATTTGCATTTCCCTAAAGACTAATGATGTTGGCATCTGGCTGGGCCAGAACAATATATACCCTCATTACATCCGCATACTTTCTGTTGCCTTTTTCCCTCCCCCTTTTTTTCTGGACCTGCCATTTTCCAGCTCCTAATGATCTATTCTTATTTTGGGTTCTTAATGCCAGCAGCCCACCTCCATGTGAGGCACTGTCCTGAGAGGGGACTTAGATATTAATTAGAGAGAGTTCATGGGGCCCAGACAGCTCCAGCATCTTCAGGCCTTCCTAAGATCTGCTTATTTGAACCTATGAATCATGGCCTTTAACACCGTGCCCAGTTTCAGCTGTTATTTCAGCGTCGATTTTGTATGAGTATCTGCAGGCAATTTTGGGTTCCTTTGTTCTCGGGCCTTTAGTCATCCCACTGCCTTCCCTCTGCTTCCTTTTACTCAGATGTTAATATCAAATGGGCCTTGTCACCTAGATGTGTTGTAGATTTTGTCTGTGGGTTTTGATTTTCCCATCTTAGTTGTTCTGTCTGCTTCCATGGCAGCGGCAATTCAGGTAAATTTAAAAAATTATGCTGTTGCAGCTTCTCTCCTCACGGCAATTATTCCTTTTATATTGTCTTTTCCTGCCGGTCATCTACCTCTCACATTCACACGAATAACTAACTAGCCCCAATCAGCCACCTCCTGTCCTCTGAGCAAGGAATGTCCTTCCTTCCCTTCTTGTCTCCATCCTCAAACACCTGCTTATATTTCATGGCCTTGCTAAAGTCACCAGATCCAGGAAGCCTTCCTTGATACACAGACCCCAGGTGGGGTCAGTGGCTTTCCCCGCTTGTCCCCACAGCAGGTTGGATGTGTCTCTGTTACCATACATATCACAACATTCCCATCCGTATGTCCTCTACTGGATAACACGGGGCTCAGAGCAAGAACCTTGTTCATTCCTCCTGTGTCCCTAGTGCCTGGCTCAGAACCCAGCTCAAAGCACTTAGTAAAGGTCACCTTGCGTGATTAGATTTTATTGCATCCTGTTAGCCTAGCTCAGAGCCAGTTAGTGGCAGAATTAATGTTATCATTGCCTTATATATACAGCACGTGGTAGTTCGCAAGAGGCTTTTGTACATCACCACTCTTTGTGCTGCTATGGTACACTTGCAGTGCTTTACTCTCAGTGATAATTTTTTGTTCATTTGTTTGTTCATCTGCGTGGTCTGTTTCCACTCACTGTATTGTGAGCTGATCAAGGGTAGGGACCAAGTTCTCTTTATCTCAATAGACAGCCCAGTGCCTGGATGAGGTACCAGGAAGGGTCTGTTGCATGAATGGATGAGATTCATTCCTTCATTCCTCCTTGTGCTAAGCTGGGGTTTGTCCACTCATCTTGGATCCTGCGTTCCATGACTGCANACCGAGAAGCGATGGAGAGAAACCAGAAAAACATGGTTGATGGAAGCCTAGGGAAGAGTGTTTCTAAGAGGAGAAGGTGGTCAACGCTGCAGATTGCTGCTGAGAGGTCAGGCCAGAGCTGAGCTTCAAGTTTACATTGGATGGAGCAAGAAGATGGTAATTAGTGACTTTGGCCAGAGGTGTTTCCACGGAGTGATGGGGGTAGAAGCCAGGTTAGGGGCCTGAAGATCAAGTGAGAAGGAAGGAAATGGAGGCAGGAAGTGTAGTCAAGTCTCAAGAAGTTTCTTGAAAAGGGGGAGAGAAAAAGGGCATCAAGTATGTAAAAAAATGACTGAATCCACAGGAAAAAAAGCAAAGAAGGATTTGCAATGTGACATTTATTATACCGTTTTTACAGATGAGGAAACTGAGGTTCAGAGAAGTTAAGCCTCCCTCCCAGCCAGTATGTGGGAGGACTAGATTTGAACTCACTTCTGTTCAGGGCAACACAAAGGAGAGCTCCGTAGAAAACATTCAGGAAGCTCCAGGTGGGTGCAGCCAGCTCCCTGCCTCTGGAGGTACAGACATTCTGAGTGCTCCGCTCACCCACGTGTTCCCTTTTAGCGCAAGCACCAAGGCCATGCTGAGGAAGAGTATTCCCACTGACGCTCATCTTCTCTTCTTGTAGCTTTTCATCATTTTGGTCTTATCCTTTCTCCAAAGATGGGAGCACCGTAGGCAGAGAGAGGATACTTCTTACCTCCTGACGAACCACTTCGAAATCATCATGTAAGTTGATCATTACAGCTTGGGATACCCAGTGATTGGGGCCAACACCAACTGTCAGGCCAGGATAACTCCCAGTTACCTGCCTCCACACCTCTATCCCACCATTGACAACTCTGCCCTTCCCTGCTCCAACCCAACCCAAGCTCTGAGAGTTCAGAATTGGCTTCCAAGCCATTGCATCCTGGGCACCCATGGCTGCCCAGAGGTGCTTAAGACATCTCAGGGGACTCAGATCACTATGGGAAAGCCTTCCCACACTCAGGAGGATGGCTGCTTTAGGAAGCAGGAGGAAGGGGTTCCCTGTCACTGGCGGCAGCAAGCCCTCTTGTGGGATGGCACCATGAGTCATGCACTAGGAGAGCCTGCTGGACCAGGATGCTTTCAGGGCCTTTCTAGCTCTGCCATTCTGTTTCTGCACCCCAATCACATTTTTTCTTGTGTTCTAATTGTTCATATCTCTGCCTCATCACCCCCTAATAATTAATAACAATAAAGCAGTTAACATTTATTGCACACTGATTATGACCTAGGCACTGAACCATTTGCTTTGGCTACATCACTTTGACAAGCCCTCTTGCCAGCCTATCATGGTGAAGATTGTTAGTGCCATGTAATGGATGAACAAACTCAGGCTCAGAGAGGTTAAGTGACTTGCCCAAGGCCACACAGTCAACAAGTGATAAGAGCGTTAACCCAGGTCTGGTTGATAGTTGCTCTAATTCCTCCAGTGTTACAACCTAAGCAGGCTCAAGCAT